GATCATTTATGTCAAATTCAAAACGGTGCAACCTCTATGGCTGCAGTCCATTGTGCTGGCCTCTTCAGCTGCATTCAGAGAAAGAATCGGAGTTCTTTAAAGGCTAGATAATAAAAAAGCTGGCACAGCCTTGCACTTCCTTACCACCACAATACCACAATACAGGGCAAACAAAACTCTTAAATGTGCTTCTATTAGCAACCAACATGGAAATGTAATTTAATCTAGTTTTACAGTTCTGTAAACCGTCTATTCTGGGTAAGGTTTTCTAACATCTTAAAGTCAAAATTGAGCTATAATTAGTTAAACTGTATTAGAAATTAGTTTCCTTCTTTAGCTATATTTTTCCATCATTGGTTTCATAAGAGCGGTGAATATAATTATTTACTTTCAAATAAGACTGAAGGCATGAGACGTAACCTATACAAATGCACACCAACATTTTAATAAGTTTGATTTTTAAATAGATGAAATCGTTTTGATAAGAAATTTTAAAAAGCATCACATTTGCAACAGTTTCTGTTTGGAGCAAAGAAAAGGCCAGTGCTCCCCCTGTTGATGAGCAGCAGCTGGCTGAAATACGGCTCCCAAAAGTGAACCAAGGCAAAACAAAACAAAAAAACAATGTCATGTAATGCTCAGATGGGCAGTGGGTAGCACTGCTGCCTTGTAGCGAGAAGGTTCTGGGTTCGATTCCCCCTGGGCCGGTGTCTTTCTTCATGGAGTTTGCATTTTCTCCCTGAGCGTGTATGGGTTCTCTCCGGGTACTCCGGCTTCCTCCCACAATCCAAAAACATGACTGTTGGATTCTCTAAAGTCCCCTTAGGTGTGAGTGTGAGCTTGAATGGTTGTTTGTCCTGTTTTTCTCTGTGTTGCCGTGCAATGGACTCGCGACCTGTCCAGGATGCACCCCGCCTCTCGCCCGCAGACAGCTGGAGATGGACACCAGCACCCCTCGCGGCCCCACTTGGAATAAGCTTGTAAGAAAGTGGATGGATGTAATTTCAACTAAAAGAGGGCAAATAATCACTCATATTATAGCACAGCCCTTTTATGATTGCGATAATCAAAATAAACATACTATATAGATTATAGTCCTCTGCAGTGGAGTTGTATCACAAATCAACATTGATCCTGTTCAAGTCTGAATTCAGTAAAGGTCAGAGCCTGGACAAATCCCGTTCAAAAATACCACATCTTTTTGTTATTCAAAGTCAATAACAATGTCCCAAAATGAGTAACAGAATATTTTTACTGTTTTATAAAAGTCTGGTTTCTACTTTCTTCAGCAAATCGGAATGTACCACCATGACCACCCAAAACATTCACATCAGTTTGTTGAACTTGTCAGAACTTTGGCAAATCCCAGCCCCCCAAAGGTAAAGATGCAGTCACAGTTTGAAGAAGACGAAATACAAAGCACTCTGTCTTACAGAAAGCAAAACTTTGTATTCCAGCTGTGCACAATACAGCCCTCTTGCAAGGATGACTGTCCAAGGCCTCATTTATGTGTGAACCACTGGATTCCTGCAAGTGTTTCTCTCCTGCAACATTTCAGTAAAGGTGTTTTATTTTGCTGTTTATTTGCTCGTTATCCCCCGATGCAGCTGTCCAGCAGTTTCGGCCTCCTGCTGTCTCTCTCTCAATGTCCACATTTTCCTTCTTTCAATACATCACACTAAACACAAACAAAGCAAACCTCTAGAACTTTGTAACAGATTTGAGTTGGCAATATGCAAGTGTGGACACCCCAGCGACGGCTGAAATTTGCATTCAGAAAACAAGAGCTAAAATCCTGCTGTGATCACTTTGTTGGCAGAATAAAGTCCAAATGGTGCATTTAAATATTTTAACTGCATCAATGACACACTGGTAAGAGCCTCAACTTATTAAAAAAACAAAACTAGGAATATATTTATCACTTAAAATTGATGAAAAACACAAATAGACAAAGGGTAGAATTTATGGAATCAGATAGGGATTTGCATAAATACTTAAATGACTCATAAATTAATTCTACTTCACACAGAAGGAGGGTGTGTTTGTTCCAAATGAGCTTCCTTTAAATACATCAATAAGTTAGATATAATGGATGATAAAAGTAATTTTCCTTCTATTAGTCTTTGATTATAGATGTTTTGCTTTAAAACTTGAACACTATCCTACCAATGCTGATTAGGGATTTACCCCGGAGGAGAGCGCAGATCTTGGTCCCCATTATTGATACAAAGTGGATCCCATTGATCCTGTTAGTGATGTTTAAGGACAGTTTTTCAAGGGGAATTTTAAATGATGATGGATTTGACAACTGACGTTCCAGGATAAAAATCAGATCCTCTTTTCGACTATGAGATCCTAAAGATCTTTTTCTACTAAACTGACTATCTAAATCTGGGCCATTTATATCAATGACATCCCTAGACTCTTCTCCAGTCGGACTGCTGATGTGGTCAAAGATCTCCACCCAAAATACAGGTGGAGTCCTGAATTGTGAACACAGTAAAATCAGACTTAAAATATTTAATCTGATGGGATTTTTTTGGGGTTTTTTTGTGGTGACGGTTTCAAATGAATAGACTGCTGCTCACAACTGAACATAATTTTCCTGAGAAAAAGGAAAGGTAGAAGAGCTTTGATTGTGATTGCATTGATCTTTTCAAAGAAATAACTTGTGGCAGTTTTGAGGGGGATTAAATTCTGAAACGGGATAAAAATCATGTCTAACAATGTAGAGATAATTATCAATTGAAGCCTTAATCCTCTAAGATGCGTCCCACTTCCACTTACCAATGAATGATAAACAATCCCGGGCACTTTTGGTTGCTTTGATCTGCATCAGAATGAAAGGTCTGAAAAATGTTTTAACTTTACAGGTTTAAGTCTCCTAAAGATGCTTGGATGAGAGCTGCAGAGGAGTAGATGACAGAAAGAGAAATGTCTGGCAACCTCAAACCACAAATGTCCAAATTTAGTTCAGAGACCATCAAAAAAAAAAAAAAAATCCCAAATCTGTAGTAGAGACTATTTCATGGTAGATTTCTGTCTAATTTGGACCTGATCCCAAAAGCAGAAATGTAATAGGAGAAAAACCTCTGAAAGTTTTGCAGTGAAAACACATTTCAAGTCTGAGGCCAAGGTTCTCCACAACAGGCTGGATTGTCACCTTGGGATTAGAGGTCCTCTTTTGGCTTATACAGGGAAGACATCTTGACATTTTGTTCTTAATGACGGTAATGTGGCTGAAGATGCTGCAGTGGCTCTATATAATTGATAGATCTTGCACTGACAGCATCACTTTAAATAAATCTACAGTTTGCAAAACCCCGTTACTAAACTCTCTACAACCTTTAGCATTTTAGCAGATTCTTTTATGTCAGACGTGCTCGTCAACTGCAGTGAAACTACATCCAACAGGCTGATACTTGAATTATTGTCCAAAGTAAGAAACTTAAAATATATTAGCAGACAAATGACAGTTTGTTTATGTAGCACCAATTATGAATAAACAAAAAAAAATTCTGGATACTCCCGCCTGAAGTGAGCTTCATAGCAGGACTTTAGAGACAATGGTGAGGAGCTCATTATCCAAGCGGGGAAGCTTCATTTTTGTTAGCTGTTCAGGACACCTCTTCTTCTCTTCCCTTCAGAGGCTTTTTTTGACAGTTCTTGCCAATCTGCTTTTTAAAAAGTAATGATATGAGCCTGCAGTTTGCTGCTTCACAGCCATGGCATTGTAGCTTGCCAACTGTAGTTTCAAAGCAGAATCATTTTAAGAGTCATTAGTGGTGCTCTTTTAGTTTCAACACCAGCACTGGCTGTACTAGTGGTTCTTGCAATTGGAAATATACATCTGCAACATCAGCTTGTTGGACAGCAAAAACTAGAGGAAAGGAGTGTGATTTAACTCTACCTTTCTTATCTGAAGGGAGAACTCAACTAAATTAAAACTGTGCCATTAAATGAAATCAGTAATCAGTCTCCTGTCTGTAATGTAGCTCTTGTCATGAAAAACGACTCCTGTCAGGAGACGTTTGCTTAAAGGTATAGTGAAGGATCTTCTATTTCTGGGTGGATCATCTAAATAAGTGGTCCTGCTAACTGTCAATTATTCAGGTGATATGTTTTCGTAAGGCATTCCTACGTGCTCTTCCTGTTAGCTATCTTTTTCTGCGCATGAGCACTTTCAGGCGTAGATGTGGGGCTACGGTTTCAGCCAGTAATTGAAGCTCACCTTTCTCACCGCGGTTCTTTTAAAAATGGCCGAGGGTCACACGAGAAAAAGTGTCTACGAAATGTATCAAAGAAAAGAAAAGCCTCATCTTTCTAGGAATGCGATTAAGGGATTTAGGGTATGGAGGACCAATCCTGCCATAATTACAAAATAAATACAGAAATAAATATATGCTCCAAAAATAAATAAGCATAAATGCAGAAATAATTTGCATGGAAGAAATAAATAGGGTACAAAAATACAAAGGAAGAATAAATCACAAAAAAATATTATAACATGCACATAATTAAATACTTAAAGAAATAGGTCATAATAAATAAGGTAATTATTAAGAAGCTAATTAAAAGAGATATGTTTATGTCTCACTGTATAATTTCATTTCTACTTACATTTATTTGTTTATTGTATTTTTGGGGGGCAATTAATTATATGCTTATTTATTTTTGGAGCATTTATTTATTTCTATTTTTTTTATTATGGCAGGATTGGTCCTCCATATTAGGGTGGATGTTCGAACACAGTAAGCTTATATGAGGGACATGCAAACAGTAACTTTTAAACAGAGCATGCACGAGTAGAAATAGATTTGTGCATGCTCTCGCACGCCTTTAAAAAGCGTTCTCTCCTGGGAGCAGGTACAGGGCTGTACATGTGCATTTTTTTTTAAGTGGATAGCGTGCGTCTTAAAAATAATCTGCGAAAATTCTCCACAATACCTTAAAAAAAAAAAGAAAAAAAAAAGAAGTCCATTCATTGCAGGGTTTCTTACCATGCTGGCATCAATGATCTGCCCTTTCCCCGACTTTGTCCGCTCCAGCAGTGCTAAGACAATCCCCAGAGCACATGTAAGGCCACCACCAGCAAAGTCTGCTATAAGATTTAGAGGAGCGTAGGGTTTCTCTCCACTGCGACCCAGTCGGGATAAAAGGCCTGGGAGGACAGCAAACAAATTGTTTAGACAAAGACAAAATAAACAATCATTTAGATTCAAAGCAAATTGAAAACACTCACTGAAGAGCCTCTGCACACAAGACTAATAAGCACAGAAGTGCACAAAACTCCTCTTCTTACATTTAAATTAATTTAGTTGGAGCACTTTACTCTGTTACATGATAACAGGACTTTGTGTGGGAATTGTTATTGTTGTACTGCTATCACAGACATAACAAAGGATATAATAAAGGACCTTGAAGAACAACAACAATTTGAATGTGTTAACTAACAAAGAACATCAACCATAAGAAAGCACAATATAATAAACCGTTAAAAAGCAACAAGGTTTCTATGATATGTTCAAGCCTAATCTTTATCTACTTTATCCTTAAAATATCTGCTGAAGTTTCCCTTTCGCTGTTTCTACTCTAAGTGTGAACCCACTGCTTGAACGTGAAGACATGAGTGGATTTAATGAATGTTATTTGAGGTCATATGATCAATATTGAGAGATCCAAAATACAGCCCTTTAGTTCAATATGTACCCTCAAAATGACATTTCAGATGTGGTTGAAATCACTCAGTGTGCTATAAAGTACAGCCTGGGCTGATGGACAGTTTTTCATTTAAAAGGCATTCTTGACAGCCTTTTCGGTGGAAATATTGCAGGTTATTTCAGTCCATAAAAAGCTTGACTGGGCGGTTCAATGAGGCCGTGCTGCGGTCACTTAAGATCCAGGTTTAATTGATGAAAAAAAAAATGCAGAGCTTTTAGAACAGCAGCAAAAACGGATCCAAAGCCTATAATTATATAGTGAACTGTACAGCAAGAGGTATTAAAGCGTGAATTCCGGCTTTAATCAAACTCTGTCTAAATGTATCCAACCGGCTTATTATCTGTGCCCTCATTTAATGATTTAAAACTCCACAAATCTCACTAATGGTAGACAGCCAAATCTCCCTGCTATTTATCACATTGAATTATTTAAAATGATTTTGAAGTAGAAGGTGTTTGTTTAGCTTAATCCAGTCTCAGTTATTTGGAATCATTGCATTACATTCTTCTTTTAAGTGCCTCTGTTTTAGCAATTCACTAAAATGAGCGAACCAAAGTGTTTATGTGAAGCTGAGTCAGCATGACAGCAGACATCGACTAGGAGTTTATGTTTCAAGGTAACAAGTTGGGGGGTTTTTTTGTTCATCTTTGCATTGTTTGAACCTCCCTCTGGGCTGAAATGATGGTTATTGTTAAGTTTTTCAACAATACTTTGACGCCACCTCACGCTTTCTCTGGTAAACAGATTTAAAACTACCGAAATATTATGTTTTTCAGGCAAAGTCAACAACGGGCCAGAAAAAAAGAAATTTAGAACTGAAGTAAAAACATTACCCTCCATACCTTTTGGCTGATCCTTTTAATAAAGACCTTCTAGCATGATTTGATTTAAAATAAGTAATTATGTTCATGCAGCAGCTTAATCTCACACAGGAAATTCAACCTGACTCTAACCTGAAACAAGACTACCTTATTCAGTGTGGGGAAAAAAGGGACCCCAATGACGCAACTATTTAGTACAGTCCTGTATTGCTTAAGATTTTACAAACTGAGATTATATAGAGAGAGGGATCTTTGATCATTGTTCTTCTATTAATGATCTTGTACAGATCATTAATAGTCTTAGCTTCCCCGCTCTATGTCGTCTTCCTAGCTCAACGTGAATCTACAGGATTTAAGTCAGAGGAATAAAACCCAGATTGCTATACCTTTCAGTTCCGTTCCTTTGCCTCCATGCATCCCTAAAAAAACCACAGCTTCTACATCCACCAACAAGTTCCACTCCAAGTTCTTTAAAGCCCGAAGAGACGATGCATGAGAGTACCGGCTACAAGCGGACCAGAGAAAATAAAAGTTGTTTCCTGTTTTATTTTGACGGTAAATGACGGAGAGCGGGTGGTGATGTTGAGTAGTCAAAGAGAATGTGAAACCGTTCTCATTAATTAACATAACAACAAAAATCCTCCAGCTGGATGACTTGAGCATACCTGAGCGGAGCGTAAAAAAACAGTGAGGAATCAACACAAGCTGCAAAAATATTGCAATAACGGTGTGTGCAATACTTATAAAGGGCCGTTTATGGCAGCAAAATTGTTGGATAGGTTTCCAAATGATATTTTAATATAATATTTAGCCAGTTAAACATTGTTTTCTTCATTTTCTCATCTTTGAGAAAATGAAGAAAAAAGAAGAAATATTGCAAATTCTATCATCGTCACAATATTAATCTAGATTATCGCCATCACAAGATGCTGGATTTTTAACACTTAGTACACAAATATAAAATTACAGGGAAATACAGTGTTATAGTTAATAAAAGATACATTTATTTGGAGGTTTTTTACTTCTCTTTTTTTCAAAGGCAACAATAAATGTGGTGGTCCCTAATGCTACAGCGCCTTCCTATGATGTACAAATAATCTGAAACCAACTCAAATATTGGATAACTTTATTTAGTATTTAATATCTATTTAATAAAAGTTACACCTAGTCATGAAAGCATGTAGCAAAGTAAATTTAAACAGTAGATATGTGGAGAACAAAAGAGATGTCGGAACTACAAAACAAGAAGATGGTGGGATATAAGACTTTAAATGGCTACACTAAAAGATATTTGAAGGGAATCAAAAAAGTTGTTCTATTTCTTCAAAGTTCTATTTAAAGAAGAACTTTGAAGAAACAACTAGTTTTTACCTGACATGGCGAGGTAGTTGATGTCATGTCCAGCTGCTGCAGCGTAACGCCCATTCTGGCCATATCCCGTCAACCGAGCATAGATCAGAGCAGGATTTTCTTTAAGTAACTCATATGGGCCAAGGCCAAGTTTTTCCATAACACCTGCACAGGAAGAAGATCTATTTAATGCTGATCCTTTGTTCTACTGTTTTAAGCTACATTTAAGAAAAATAAGTGATCATGTATAATGTTGTTTTTTTCCTCCCCTTTTTACAGACAAAGTTCTGACCTTTACGATAGGGCTCCAGTACAACATCAGATTGAACACAGAGGTTCCTAAGCAAAGCCACGCCTTCTGCCGTTTTCAGGTTGATAGCGACTGAACGTTTCCCTCGTGCTTGAGTGTCCATAGTTGTGAAAACTTTGGTTCGGTCCACACGGATCACCTTGGCTCCAAAGTCTGCCAGGATCATGCCACAGAACGGTGCCGGAGCCAGACCTGCCAGCTCAATGACTTTCACCCCCGCCAATGCCATGGCTTAGTGACTGCAAATTCAATTTAGACACATTTAGACTCAACTTAATGCAGGGAAACGCATGAGCTGTAGTGTTATTAGAAATTTTACAGCAGGAAACAATAATACAAAGTTTTATTCTCAATGATCCCATCACTCTTCTAACCTTTTTCAAGCTATTTTGAGTTCTTCTCCAAAGATTTATCAAATATTGTATACAGTACACAGTAACTACCTCACTGAAAAAAACCAACTAAGAAAAATCATCTGCTGGGTATTTATTTAGCCTGAAAATTTTGCTTTTCTCTCTAAATAATATCTTAATCCTATTAGATCAAATTCAGAGAGCCTTTGTCCCCAGGGATAAAAAAAATACATTTTTATAGTGTCAACATGACATATTATCTCGGATTTTGTGTAATGAAGGGTTTAATTAGTAGCAAATTATAGCATCTTAATTTGCATATCAAATATCAACCAAGCTTTGGCAGCAATTGCAATCTAGATCTATGCAACACTAATAAAGGCAACATTCTGTCTATGGGCTCCAGAAACTCACCACCCGTATGATGGTTTTCATCAATTGAAAATCTTTTGCATATTTTTAGACAGCAAGGAGACATTTATTCGGATTAATTGCCCTGTTCCTGCATCTGCTCAGCAGTTTCTGTATCTTATCCGATTTAAGATTTACAGTCCCAGTTCAAGTCTGCATGAACGAATGAAGGATGCCATTAACGCTGAATTATTCAAACATTGTTCTACATCCTTTATTTTAGGGACAAAGGGGTTTAGATTTATCATGGATATTCTCTGATCTAAAACATATAAGCTTATTAATAAGGGCCTAAATTGTATACATAAGGTAAAGTTTTTATAATTCTTTTTTAAGACATTGAGTTAGTCAGGCCTTGTGTATACGTTTTCATTCAGAACTGACAAAAGTCCTTCCAGAAATGTAATGTTTGCCTGCACACAAAAAAAAAAACGGAAAAAAAAAACTTTACCTTAGCATTGCAAATAGCGCTTATCTACTCATGAGCATAGACATTAACATATTTCACTGGTGTTTTGACTTACAAACTGGAATGTATTTAGATTAAGTTTGGTACCATTCCCAGATTAGCCCTCCAAAATCAAAGGTTAAAAAAAAAATAAAAAAAATATATAAAATCAGCCACCAGTTCTTGCTTTAATTTGGCTGTATCTGCTTTTCCATGCAGGGGGTTTCTATATAATCTCCATTACTTTACATTGTAAACTAGCTTTACCTTGTAAATTATTAATAACAACAATGTGTTCTGTGTTGCAAAGACACTGCAGAAACTTTTTGTCTAAAGAACATTTAGCTTCATGCAGAGGATTTATCTTAGTTGATTATTTTTGGATGCATTGTTTTACATTTTAAACATTATGCTGCAAGAAAACCTTAAGTGAAGTGAAGCATTTTTAGGAACAAAATAATACTGTCCATCCAGAGGCGTAGCCAAAAAATGTTTATAAGGGTGGCCATGCAATAACCAATGTACACTGAGGGGTGGCTGAAAGTAGATAGGCATCAAAACCTCACGGTCAATCTTCACTGTTCCAACAGGAAAATTATCAAGCAAGAGATCCATATTTTCAAAATAATGGACAAACTATACTTTCCTACAGCCGTTGCCAACAAATAGACAAATATATTCAAACATCCATGCTTTCTAGATAAAAAGTATAGTGGATAAAACTTACCTAGTTTGATCAATAATTATTCTGCATAAAATTTATATTTACATGCACTAATATCTACATAAATTGATTATTTAAAAAGTTTTTATTAAAATAGTTATTTATCTATGATTTCAATGAAGACTCCAGATAACTTGCAGAGACACATCATTTTCTCTCTATCCCATAAAACACAAAATCTATTTCTGCTTGAATTCTGTACTCATCATCTTTAATGTCAGTATATTGATGTGCATAATTAACCACAGTGTTTTTGTTATTAACTAATTCTTAACATATGGAACATTAAAATACTTTTAATATTCCACTTGAGATTATTACTGTTGCCACCATCTGTATTACAGAGATGGTAGGGAATGGTAGGGGTGGCCAATGATTGGCTAAGGGTGGCCATGGCCCCCCATCTAGCTCCGCCCCTGTGTCCATCACACCACAGGGGGTATTACTGCATGAGCCAAATGGAAAATAAAATATTTTTAAATTCATATTTTATTTATACTGAGTTAGTGATTTATTTTTATGTGATCATAAGGACAGCTTATTCATACATGTATACTTAGGAAATTTCCATTTGAAAGCAACTACTACCAGGAGGCTTTCAGACTTAGAACTTTAGACTTTGGACATTTCAAAAGTCTGCTTTAATCCTAGTGCAATCTTCACCATGAACAGTCGAAACTTGCTGCAAAACAATCATAAACACTAAAGGAAAAATACTGATATAGTGATTTTTGGCCGATTCATATATTAGGCTTTTATAGCTTTTTCATTGTATTTGACCCCTTTTTGATGTTTAATTCCCTCTTTGACAGCTGCTGTTTTATTGGTCTGGTGTTATATTCTAATGTCTAATGTATCAGTGCGGCTCAATCCGCGGACCAAAGCTCAAAGTTAGCGGCTCAAAGATTCAAGTGATGAATAAAGTTGTTTAACCTTAAATTCACATGTAAAAAAAAAAAAAAAAAAAAAGGATGGCGTCCTATAGGGACCAAACCCCCGGTTTTAGTCCTCGTCCTCCTACCTGCACAGGTCTTCTGTGTAGTTATTTAGAAGTATGGAGGGAAGAAAGACAGACAGACAGACAGATAGAGGACAGGAGCTCGCTGCCTGCTGTGCTAAAAGTAAACAATGGACTTCCTGGTGATGTCATTACGTTCTGTCCCCTTGGCCTTATGGGAAATGAAGTTCTCTATACTCGTCAGCGCCTATTTTATGGACAGACAAATTAAAAAGAGTGTTATTGTATTAATCTGTTGATAATCAGTAATTTAAATCAGGGGTCCTCAATGTTTTCCCGGCCAAGGACCCCAAAATTGATGGCGAGATGGAGCGGGGACCCCCTAATTATATGTATTGTATGAAATAGTATATTATCAAATTGGTCCTATAGTCACTCTTATACAGACGGAGTAATGTAAGGAAAGTAATTTCTCCCCGGGATTATTAAAGTATTTCTGATTCTGATTCCTGGTTGATAGAAGAGGTGTTGTGAATGAAAGGGTGCCCAGCTGAAAGAGCTCCTGTGTGTCGTTGAATGTGTGACTGAGAGACATCTTCTGCCTTCATTTGTCCCTGTTGAATTCATGTTAATGTGTATTTAAAGACATTTCAATTAGTGAAAAAAATTGCAGGGGGAAATATAAAAAAAAAAAAAAAAAGTCTAATCAACCAAAACTTTCAAAACCCCCATGCAGTACCTCCATGGACCCCCCAGGGGTTGCGGAACCCCTGTTGAAGACCTCTGATTTAAACAGACAAGCTCAAAACTTAGCATAATTTAAATTTTGGTTTTATCTTTAAACATCTTTGCAAATATTAAATAGTCTTCATTACAAACTAACCTACCGTAGACTCAATCAGATTTAGGCGTTTCTGTGAACAACTATTGCCAAAGCATCTGTGATTTATGTGTTTGGTCGATGTCCTGTTAATAGGTAAACTTCATCCATATCAAAGTATTTTTTTTTTTCCTCTAACATTTTTTCTCCATGAACTACCCTGCATTTATCTCAGTCCATCTTCTCATCTACTCTGACCTGTCCTCAGTGGTGTCAAAAGTACCCACATTTGTTACATAAGTAGAAGTATAGATAATGCAGTTTAAAAACTCTCTGGTAAAAGTTGAAGTATCAACTTGACCTCTTTACTCAAGTAAAAGTGAAAAAGTATGTGCTCCAAAAACTACTTAACGTAAAAAGTATAAAGTAACGTTAAAAAAAAAAAACGCCAGATGTCACTATATGAACTGAAAGCTCAATTATTCCACTATTTCGGAAAAATTCTTTGAGATAGGGCCAAGGATGAGGGAGGTCTTATGGTCACCATCTCCATCTCCCGATACGCTCTCGCCTGTTTCCGAGCTTTTAGACATTTCCACATCTTTTTCTGAATCCAACATTGTAGCATGGCATAGACAATTTGTGTTTGCAGTTTAAAGAACACCTGCTTGCTTCTGATGATTTCCTTTAGCAAACCAATGAGCGTTTGCGTTATATGACTCATCCAATTATACTAGTTTTCACTAGATGTGGATGGCGCCAAGGATCTGCATTGGATGGTGCACATGATGTGAAATAAATATTTATAAACATTAAACCGAACCCAAGAGTAACGAGTAATGTTTGTTTTAAAAATGTAAAGAATAGAAAGTACAGATACTTGTGTGAAAATGTAATGAGTAGAAGTCAGAAATAGGAAGAAAAATAAGTAATGTTGTAAAGTATAGATACCTAAAACTGTATTTAAGTACAGTAACGAAGTATTTGTACTTTGTTACTTAACACGTCTGCTTGTCTTACATAAATAACAACTCCATATTATGTTGTTAAAAAGAAAGATTTCAATGGCACATGACTGAGGGGGTGTCCAAAAGTTGTGGTCCTCCTTATTTATTTAAAATATTATAAGAAAATCCAGCAGTAAAATAAATAATTTTTGTGTTCTCTCAGTCCAACCCATCCTGGTCTGATTACTGAAAAATGCATGTTAAAGTGCCCTCCCTGGAGCCAAAATGATTGTTTAGGGTCCGTATACAGGGGTGAGGAGGTGCTTTATCTGTCCATTTTTTTCAGCCTCAGTCTATGCACACCACTGACCTAATGTGACTATATTTCCAAAATCCAAAACTTTTTATTGATGTGTACGTAGATACAGCTATCTTTTTCTTTTTTTAAATAAGCTGTTATTATTTAGTGAGGATGATTTTTTTTATAAAAATATAATAATTTATGTGTTAGGATAATTTCCCTTTTAATAAATTTTACAATAAAAATTACATTAAAACTATAAATTATATTCTTCAGTGCATCTTTATGGCAGTTTAAAAGCTTGCATAATTTTTTTTTTTTTTTTTTTTTTTTTTAGGGAGGGGCAATATCAGTGTATTTACCCATTTTTTGTTAACTGTTACAAAACATTACTCCTGATCTTTCTGGTTTGATTGCTTTTTCTGAATGGTGCAGTTTGTTCTGTGATGGCAAATGACATACCTCTGAGGCCTGAGGTGCAGAGACAAGATCAGTCAGGATCAGAGCTGGTCAAATCACATAAGCATGATTACAAAATCAGCAGGACGCATGCTCCTCTCTCTGAAGCAGTTTGCCAGCATTTGCATCAGTATTCACATCACAATCCCCATACACTTCTAACTGTGCAGCAATAAGAGGCTGAGCGAACTTATCACAACATGGTGTGGACGTTGTAATGTTTTATAAAGCTTTGTGCAGGCAAGTAAGATTAGTAACTAATCACAATGGCTAAACATCTAGCCACCCATAAGGGATGTGGAAGAATGAGAATGCCATCTCTGAGCCAGTCATACATGTCATGCACCTCAGGTAAATCAGCATTGTACATTCATTCAGTAACTTTACATTCATTTAGGACACTTGTGTCAATCAAAGTGATGTTACATACTAGAGTTACAGGTTTATAAAAAATAAATTAATTAATTTTAAAAAGCTATGTTTTAGCGCTGCATGGTGGCACAGTTTCTAGCACTAATGTCTCTGAGGTTCTGGGTTGAATTCCCCGCCCAGGGTCTTTCTGCGTGTAGGCACCGACCCCACTGCTAGCCTGAAGGGAGAAGATGGGTGGATGGATGGATGGATGGATGGATGGATGGATGGATGGATGGATGGATGGATGGATGGATGGATGGATGGATGGATGGATGGATGGATGGATGGATGGATGGATGGATGGATGGATGGATGGATGGATAAACAATTATGACTAACATATAGCAAGAAGACAGCCATTTACACCTTCCATCAGAGAATTAGTAAGCCACCAGAGGTCTTTGCTAAACATACTGACTGCTCCCATAATGCCTCATCCAAGCACATTATTACAATGTCAACAGCAACCAAGAAATGTTGTCGGAGAAGTTGCTCCAGAACTAAGTAGGCAAGCGTAATTCACTAAAGGATTTAAGGGAACTGCACAGCGTGTGCACTGATGATGGAGTTGGCACATCAGAGCTAATATGTACAGAGAAATCCAACATATGGACTGTAACATACCAGACTGAGGACCTGGTATTCTACCGGACACAAGTTACATGTACTGTATTAAAATATTGTCAGCATGAAACCAATCATCCCTAGAGCTTGGTTCCATGTCAAAATCACTGCTGCTTAGACCACTTTGATGCAGAGCGTGCTGCTCACAAGACCAGATGGGGACTGACAGACAACTAGGAACTTACAGGTAGAGGTAGTTTCCATCTTAAAGTCCTAAAGGAAAAACAGAACTTGTTGGACAGAAACAGAGTCAGACCCAAGAGGTTTGAATCTAGAGGAGGTATCCAAGGAGACAACGAGAAATGGTAGTCAAAACCAGGTCAGTGCTCAGAAATGAGAAAGCTCAGAGTAATCTGGTGGAGAGCAAGGAAAAGGCGTGGAATCCATGAGGCAAATGCAAGGTCAGGATCAGGATATCAGGCATGGAAGGAATGCAAGACATCTACTCACTGTGGGATTTATAAATAATCTGACAATAGTGAGGGGTTAGTGGAAGAGTTATATAGAGAGGAATGCAGATGGAAAACATGAACGCTGATGACAAAGGGGAGAGGTGCAAAGGTAGAAAGAATGAAAGATAATGATGCCAGAAGCAGAGCTGAATGTAAACAAACCAGCTTCTTTGCCAGAATCCTGACATGAAAGTTAAGTCCCCAAAAAAGTACTATTACTAAGCAGCCTTTTTTTCAGAGGAAAGTAAAATTTGGATTTAATTTTAAAATCAAATTCAAAGAGTCTAACAGAATAGCGGAGAGTAATACAATCAATATTTAATGAAGTCCAGAGTTAGGCATCTTTTAGTGATTGATCACATTATTAAGTCCATAGTCAACAAATTAATCTACCATTGAAACTTAGATAATTTGCTTTGCCTAAAAGCTGCATGAAGATATTTCCTGGAAGGACTTAGCAAGTGCCCACGTTGCAAAAGATACCACAAACTGATTCAGTCTGCAGAATGTCACTGTGTGCTAGTGAATGGAAATATCTTTCAAAACAATGGTTATTTTCTTTTGGAAATATTTTTTATTCATATTCAAGTCATTTGAGAAACATAAGGTATTTTTTGTATTATCTATAAATATGATAGTAACAAATCCCTGCAGGTACGTGGCACACTCATGCTGTCATGATTGGCTAATGGACTTAACCCACATGCAGAACACCAAACTGGAGACAGAGGAAAATTTAACAACGTTTATTAAGGACAACACACAGTGTTAAGGAGGACTGGTTCTGGTGCAGGTCCGGGACTGGTTTCACTGATATCTGAAGAGATGAGAGTTTGGTTAGCCAGGCAGTTAGATGGATAGACGAGTGAGTAGAATTCTGATTGTACCTTGAAAAGGTTCTGACAGATCCTTGAGAGAGGGGAACCGGTTGGGTCCAGAGACTGTGGAAGTAGCAGAGAACTCGGCAGCAGCAGCGTCTAGCTTCTGGCTAGAGAGTCTCAGACTTGGGTTTAGTTTCCTAGCTCTTCCCTGAGAGCTGAAGGGGGAATCCAGACTGTGATCTCCAGGTTTAGCTTCCTTGGGCAGACAGGCAGAAAACAGAAGAGGATCCTCGGCGCCCTCTGGTGGGCAAAGCCTCAGGATCCCAACACATGCTAAGCAGCTTTAGCTCTGCATTGTTTGCCACCCAGTTGCCAG